CAGTCACTAACCGCACATAGTACGAGCACGGAAGCAAATGATGTATGGTAATCATCTCGACGCTCCTCAAACTCTCCAAGCACGAAGAAAGGGGACACACGACAAGCCTTCAAGGCCCAACAAAACCCCTACAACACGAAGGGGCGAAAGGAGGGGACATACGACAAAGCTCTAGGCCCCCACCAAATCTCAGGAACAGGAATCGGGGGGACATACGACAAACCTCTAGGGCGATCACTAGCCCCTCACAATACGAGCACAGAATCGAATTATATATATATATATATGTATATATCAGTCGTCTAGGCTCCCCAAACCCTACAAGCACGATGAAAGGGGACACACGCAAACATCCCACGAAGGAACGAAGGGAGAGGAATTACGACAAACCTCTAGACCCCTACCAAATCACAGGAATACGAAGCGGGGGGGCACACGAGAAATCTTTAGGGCAATCAATACCCTCATAGCGACTGCGGAAGCAAAGGATATGTGATAATCATCTAGACACTCCCCAAACCCTGCAAGCACGAACAAAGGGGACATACGAAAAACCTCCAGAGCGCTCACGAAACCCTTACAACACGAAGGGACGAAGGGAGGGGACAAAAGATAAACCTTTAGGCCCCTCCCAACTCACAGGAACACGAAGCAGGGGGGCATACGACAAATCTCTAGGGCGGTCAATAGCCCTCATAATACGACCACGGAAGCAAATGACTTATGATGACAATCATCTAGACGCCAAGAAAGGGGACATACGGCAAACCTCCAAGGCCGAATGCAACCCTCACAACACGAAGGGACGAAGGGAGGGGACATATGACAAGCCTCTGGCCCCTACCAAATCTCAGGAACACGAAGCGGGGGAATATACGACAAACCTCTAGGGCAGCCACTAGCCCCTCATAGTACGAGCGCGGAAGGAATGATTTTTGACAATTATCTAGACACTCCCCAAACCCTACAAGCACGAAGAAAGGGGACATGCGACAAACCTCCGGGGCCCTCACAAAACCCTTACAACACGAACGAAGAAAACAACTCATACAAACCTCTGGGCCCCTACCAAATCACAACAACACGAAGCGGGGGGACATACGATTAACCTCTAGGGCAGTCACTAACCCCTCAAGACGGGGGGTGAAAGGGATTATGGGAGATGATGGGGAATGATGATGGGGGATGATGGGGGATGATGCGGGATGATGGGAGATGATGGGGGGTGATGGGGAATGATGGGGGATGACGCGGGATGAGAGACATGATGGGGCATGATAGGGGCTGATCGGGGACGATGATGGGGGCTGATGGGGGATGATGGTGGATGATGGGGGGGTGAAAGGGATTATGAGAGATGATGGGGAATGATGATGGGGGATGATGGGGGATGATGGGAGATGATGGGGATGATGGCGGATGATGCGGGATGATGGGGGATGATGGGGGATGATGGGGGATGATGGGGGATGACGCGGGATGACGCGGGATGAGAGAGACGATGGGACATGATAAGGGGGCTGACTGTCTCATCCCCCATCATCCCCCATCATCCCCCATCATCCCTTTCACCCCCCCCGAAATGATGGGAGATGATGGGGGATGATTGGGGGATGATGGGGCATGATGGGGGATGAGAGAAACGATGGGAGATGATGGGAGATGATGCGGGGTGATGTGGGATGGGCAATGAGCGGGTATGTCTGAAATCCTGGAAAAGACAATTCCCGGGGTTTGATTTTAAAGGGTTTAAATTCTTTTTCGGCATCTTAACTTTTTATGAACTCCTTACACAATCAAATCCGGTATTTGATTTTTGTTAAGGGTTTCAAGGATATTACCCTAAACCCTAAACGCTAAACCCTAAACCCTAAACCCTAAACCGTAAACCCTAAACCCTAGACCCTAAACCCTAAACCCTAAACCCTAAACCCTAAACCCTAAACCCTAAACCGAACCCCGGGATTTAGTTCTTTAAGGATTTCAATGATTTTTTGGGCATTTTAAATTTCATGAAATCCTTGAAAAATTAAATCCCGGGATTAAGTTTTTCAAGGATTTCAAGGATTTCATAAACTTCAAATACCGGAGCTCCTGCAAAAGCAAACGCCCCCCTCCCCACTCAGAGTGCGGGAAGACCACGCGGATTATAAAATTTATGAAATCCTTGAAATCCTTGAAAAATCAAATCCCGGGATTTGATTTTTCAAGGATTTCATAAAATTTAAAATGCCCAAAAAAACCTTGAAATCCTTAAAATATTAAATCCCGGGATTTGATTTTTTAAGGATTTCAAGGATTTTTTGGGCATTTTAAATTTCATGAAATCCTTGAAAAATTAAATCCCGGGATTTAGTTTTTCAAGGATTTCAAGGATTTCATAAAATTTAAATACCGGAACTCCTGCAAAAGCAAACCCCCCCCCTCCCCACTCAGAGTGCGGGAAGACCACGCGGATTTAAAAATTTATGAAATCCTTGAAATCCTTGAAAAATTAAATCCCGGGATTTGATTTTTCAAGGATTTCATGAAATTTAAAATGCCCAAAAAATCCTTGAAATCCTTAAAATATCAAATCCCCGGATTTGATTTTTTAAGGATTTCAAGGATTTTTTGGGCATTTTAAATTTTATGAAATCCTTGAAAAATCAAATCCCGGGATTTGATTTTTCAAGGATTTCAAGGATTTCATAAAATTTAAATACCGGAAATCCTGCAAAAGCAAACCCCCCCTCCCCACTCAGAGTACGGGAAGACCACGCGGATTTTAAAATTTATGAAATCCTTGAAATCCTTGAAAAATTAAATCCCGGGATTTGATTTTTCAAGGATTTTATGAAATTTAAAATGCCCAAAAAATCCTTGAAATCCTTAAAAAATCAAATCCCGGGATTTGGTTTTTTAAGGATTTCAAGGGTTTTTTAGGCATTTTAAATTTCATGAAATCCTTGAAAAATCAAATCCCGTGATTTAATTTTTCAAGGATTTCAAGGATTTCATAAAATTTAAATACCGGAACTCCTGCAAAAGCAAACCCCCCCCTCCCCACTCAGAGTACGGGAAGACCACGCGGATTTTAAAATTTATGAAATCCTTGAAATCCTTGAAAAATTAAATCCCGGGATTTAATTTTTCAAGGATTTCATGAAAATTTAAAATGCCCAAAAAATCCTTGAAATCCTTAAAATATTAAATCCCGGGATTTGATTTTTTAAGGATTTCAAGGATTTTTTAGGCATTTTAAATGTCATGAAATCCTTGAAAAACTAAATCCCGGGATTTAATTTTTCAAGGATTTCAAGGATTTCATAAAATTTAAATACCGGAATTCCTGCAAAAGCAAACCCCCCCCTCCCCACTCAGAGTACGGGAAGACCACGCGGATTTTAAAATTTATGAAATCCTTGAAATCCTTGAAAAATCAAATCCCGAGATTTGATTTTAGGATTTCATAAAATTTAAAATGCCCAAAAAAACCTTGAAATCCTTAAAAGATTAAATCCCGGGATTTGATTTTTTAAGGATTTCAAGGATTTTTTGGGCATTTTAAATTTCATGAAATCCTTGAAAAACTAAATCCCGGGATTTGATTTTTCAAGGATTTCACGGATTTCATAAAATTTAAATACCGGAATTCCTGCAAAAGCAAACCCCCCCCTCCCCACTCAGAGTGCGGGAAGACCACGCGGATTTTAAAATTTATGAAATCCTTGAAATCCTTGAAAAATTAAATCCCGGGATTTGATTTTTCAAGGATTTCATAAAATTTAAAATGCCCAAAAAATCCTTGAAATCCTTAAAATATTAAATCCCAGGATTTGATTTTTTAAGGATTTCAAGGGTTTTTGGGCATTTGAAATTTTATGAAATCCTTGAAAAATTAAATCCCGGGATTTAATTTTTCAAGGATTTCAAGGGTTTCATAAATTTTAAAATCCGCGTGGTCTTCCCGTACTCTGGGTGGGGAGGGGAGGTTTTCCGGTATTTAAATTTTATGAAATCCTTGAAATCCTTGAAAAATTAAGTCCCGGGATTTGATTTTTCAAGGATTTCATGAAATTTAAAGTGCCCAAAAAATCCTTGAAATCCTTAAAATATTAAATCCCGGGATTTGATTTTTTAAGGATTTCAAGGGTTTTTTGGGCATTTTAAATTTCATGAAATCCTTGAAAAATCAAATCTAGGGATTTCCCGGCGGCAAACGAGGCGTGCCAAATAGACCCTAAAGGTCCTACGTACATACATATATAGCATATATATATATATATCTATCTATATATATATATATTATAAGTTTGAATCATATTTGCAGATATTGGGTTGAGGGTTGGGGTTTGTTGGGTTTAGGGCCAGTTTAGGGTTTAGGGTCTGTAGGGTTTAGGGTTTATAGGGTTTAGGGTATAGGGTTTTTTAGGCTTAGGGTTTATCGTTTTTTTGTGTTTAGGGTACGTAGGGTTTATAGGATTTATGGGGTTTATAGGGTTTAGGGTTTAGAGCTTTGTTTTTTTTTTGTTGTTTTTTTTTTTTGGGGGGGGGGGGCAAGTTACGCTTGCGGCGATAGGCAGGAGTCCGCAAGGCAAAGGGGGCATTGTGGGTTTGTTGCGGGTTTTAGGGGTTGTTGTTGTTATAGAGGCATGGGGCTTATGGTAATCTAGAGGGGTTCAGTATTAGGAGTATACCTCTTAGGGGTACAACTTTAGGGGTCAGAGAGTAGGCCCAAATTGTCGAAGATTTGGCGACAGTATGTGGTCACGGCTGCGCGCATTTTTTGAGCTGTTCCGCCCGAGCGAGCTTCTAATTCAGCTCCCTACTATTCCTAAGTACTGAGCCCCACCCCCCAATCAGGCGGTCCATGATCACGTGCAGGAGCGGGATGCAGCAAACGCCTGAGTAATCTCTGTTTTTTTCTGTGCAAAGTCAACCCGGTTTAGGGTTTTAGGGTTTAGGGTAGGGTTTGCAGGGTTTGCAAGGTTTAGGAGACGGCGAATGCCATCGACCAGGCTGTCATCATGCCGCCACCGCCACCGCCCATGCCCGTCAAGGAGCCGCCCACCATCTCGTCTGAAGTGCAACATGGCCGGGTGTACTTGGGTTTAGGGTTTAGGGTTTAGGGTTTAGGGTTTAGGGTTTAGGGTTTAGGGCTGTCTAGGTGGGCCCCTGGGATATTCACATGGCGTTTATATGGTTTACAGGGCTCCAAGGGTTTAGGTTGATGGTGTCTACAGGGGTTCTAGGGTTTATAGGGTGTATAGGCTAGGTAGGGTCCTGGGACATTATATACATTTTCCCTTATTGAGTTTAAGAGGATCATACTCAGGATTATGGTTCCTAGTTACAGCAAAAAAAATCGCTGTAGTACTAGCCCGACTCATAAACCCGTTAGGTACCCCGAGAGGGCTGCACTTGAGTTGTAAGTGCAACTCTAACAGGGAACCCTAAACCCTAAACCCTAAACCCTAAACCCTAAAGGCAGAAACCCTCGAAACCTAAACTTCAAGAGTTGCAGCTCAATGTGGCATGCTCAGGGCGCAAGCGTTGAGATTCCTTCTGGGGAAGGACGAGGTGCGGCGGTTTGGGGTTTAGGGTTTAGGGCTTAGGGCTTAGGGTTTAGGATTTTACTTGGTAGCCCAGTGGTACGCTTTGCCCCTTTTTTGGTTCAAGGTCCCCTTATAAAGTAGCCAGCCCAAAGAAGGATAGCCTTATTGTATCATGGGTGCTGGGCTACCAACTTTGGGGTTCAAGCCGGAAGGTTGTACCTTGGTCGTTGCCGCTCTTCATGCGTTCGGAAATGTTTTCGAACCCTGAACCCTAAACCTGAACCCTGACCCTAAACCCTAAACCCTAAACCCTAAATCCTAAACCCTAAACCCTAAACCCTAAACCAGCCCTGCTCTGTCAGGGCTCGCCGGCCTCGGCTCCAAGCAACAAAACGTCTGGCGCCCAGCGATGGCCGTTTTTGTGAAAGAGGGCGGGGGGGAGGGTTTAGGGTTTAGGGTCTAGGGTCTAGTGTCTAGGGTCTAGGGTCTAGGGTTTAGGGTTTAGGGTTTAGGGTTTAGGCTCTAGGGTCTAGGGTCTAGGGTCTAGGGTCTAGGGTCTAGGGTTTAGGGTTTAGGGTTTAGGGTCTAGGGTCTGGGGTCTAGGGTTTAGGGTTTCGGGCTTAGGGTTCAGGGTTTAGGGTTTAGGGTTTAGGGTTTAGGGGGGACGGGTTCGGGACCGGCATCTGCCGCACAATCATGCATTTCACCTGGCTGCGCCCTATAAACGTCATAAACTCACTAAAGAATGCAAGGATTCTTGGATATTCCCAGGCAGCCCTTCCACGCCCCATGAATTTAAGGAATCAACAACAAATCATATGCGGACCTCCCTGCGGGATGAAAGGATGTATCCCTAAACCCTAAACCCTAAACCCTAAACCCCAAACCTTAAACCCTAAACCTTAAACCCTAAACCTTCTGTTCGTCTTTACTTAAAGGACTACACAACGGAAAGCCTTCCAATAAACCCCAGGCTGCTCCCACCACCAAACCCCTTTTCAGAACCCCCCTCCCAGGCCCTCCACGAAAACCCCATCGCCCCCTAAACCCTAAACCCTAAACGCTAAACAAGCCTTTCTCAAGCAGCTCAAAGCAAAGACGAAAGAACATTCGCCAAAGCTTTCACTCCAAACCCTGGACCCAAACCCTGCCTATGAACCCTAAGCCTGACCCTGAACCCTAAACCCTAAACCCTAAACCCTAAACCCCAGGTCCAGTCGGCATGGTTCCAAAGAGCGCTTGGCGTCGTCTGCCGCAGGCAGACGTTCTCGCGGTCAAAGAGGGTCTATCGGGAGTTTATACGGAGTGTACAAGGAGTTTTTAGTTTGTAGGTTTTGGGGATAAGTTTATAGGGGTTTAGGGATGGTTACACAGTTATCTGGAGCTTAAGACGTCTTTAGGGATTAGATGTCTATAGGCATAGGGTTTACATGGAGCTTGTAGGCTTGGGAGGGAGTATAGGATTTGCTAGGGTTGAGGGCTTTTCCTACGCTCGAGGAAGCTTGTTGTAGTCATGGGGGTTGTAGGGTTTAGGCTTTTGGGTTTCATTAGGGGGGGGGGGGAGGGGGTCAAAAGCCGTGAACATAGCCGGGGCTCACAGCATCACAGCCCTCCTCACTTACATGACCTTTCTCCCCCTAAAATATGCCGCCATTCTCTCCACCCTACCCGGGACTCTTTACCCACCTTTCAATGGGTTACACCTGCTAATTAAGGGGTAGTTGCTACTAAACTGTAGGTAAAAAAGTCCTCGGAAACCCAAACCCTAAACCCTAAACCCTAAACCCTAAAGCCGCCAGGACCCCGCGACAGGCGCGCCTCCACGCGCTCGACCCTGGGCTCCTGGGTAGCCCAGTGGTGCTTTTATTTTTTGTTTTTTGGTTTCTGGGTTCCCTCATAAAGTACCCAACCAAAAAAGGGTGCCCTTAAAAAATATTGCTACTGGGCTACCCCTAAACCCTAAACCCTAAACCCTAAACCCTAAACCCTAAACCCTAAACCCTAAACCCTAAACCCTAAACCCTAAACCCTAAGCCCTAAACCCTAAACCCTAAACCTTCCTGGGCCACCAAGGCTCGGAGCGCCGGGGCTCCAACCTGGCGGTGCCGGCGCACCGCGGCTCCGCCATGGGCTCCAACCTCGGCCGGCGGAGCTCGGCCGGCTCCCTTTTTGTCATAGTTGGGTAGTTTACTATTCTTATTATTTGTTTTACATTCAAGGGTACTTATTAAACTATAGTTGGGTAGTTTTTTTGTTGTTTACATTTTTTTGAAGGGTACTTATTAAACTCCATAATATAAGGAGTAATTTGGTAAGATTGTTTACGTTCTTAAGGGTACTTAAGCCCAGTAAGGAATAGACTTTCATTTTGCATGTTTAAGGGTACTTAAACCCCCGTAAGGAATAGAACTTTCACTTTTTTAGTGCTATCCCAACCATGAACTAGGCTCCTGCGCGCGCAGCAGCGTCAGCGCCAGCCCGGGTGGACGCCCGAGGATGTCCCGAGCTCAGGTTTTGGGACAGAGCTTTTCGGAAACCCGTCATGGCTGTTTGATTTTCTTAAACTTGATTGGGTTTCATTATTTCACTTTTTGCAGTTTTACAAAACTTGATTGCTTTCAAAGGGGCTGTTAGAAAAGCAGCAGAGGTCCAGCTCGAGGATTTCCATCGACTCAGACCTGGCGTCCTTGGCCTCCTCAGGAGACCGCCACTCGGACTGTCAGTTTCTTGGGGACCCAAAGAGAACCCTAAGACTGGGGCCATGTTCCCTAGACTACTATACTTCCTATCAAAAGTGCTAAGCCCTAAACACTAAGCCCTTGTGATTCCTTATGAAGGTACATGAACCACGAGCCCTTTTGAGGGCTCATGTCGGCCCAGAGGTGGGTTCCGAGCGTCTTTTTTGTTTGTAGGGCCACCTCTAGAGGTCAAGAGCCCACCTTTGAAGACACGTATAAAGATGGTTACCCAATTCTGTTTTGGGCAGCTCTCTCAATTAGGGTCCCTGCTTGTGGCCGAAGAAATAGATCTATGTCTATATATATATATATACATAAACACATACATTTATATATATATATATATATATATATATATATGCATGTGTATATATATATGCATGTGTTTATGTGTATGGATATATAGGATAGTATTCCAGGGCTGCTGTCGGGAGCCGAGGCCGAAACTCGGGGGAGCGCCGGCTTTCGAAAAGGCGGCTAGGCGCGGGCGTTCTCATGCCTTGGGGTGTTTAGGGTTTCGGGTTTAGGGTTTAGGGTTTCGGGTTTAGGGTTTAGGGTTTAGCGTTTCGGGTTTAGGGATATCTTAGTTGATTCTTCCCCTTTTTGGGAGGATCATTGTTTGGGAATATGGTTGTAGAAGGTTTGTGATAGAAGTTTCCCCCACGCTCAGAACACATCTGGATCATCTTTCTTCTTCAAGCTTGCAAAAGCCTCAACCTAAGTAGCTGAGTAGGTAGCCTTTAACCGCTTGGGGCATTTCCATTCCTACCATATTAGCTGAGTAGGAAACCGTTAGCCGTGTCGGGTATATACAATGCTACCAGAATTGAAAGGCCTACCTTTTTTTGGCCCATGGTACTCAACGACAAAAAGTCTCCTGCAAATGCCAGGCAGAATAAAGCGATAGAATCTGCTGGTCAATCAAGTCGAACCTCTCTGCCAGAACTCAACCTCATGCCTAGGTAGGCCTCCTTCAGGCGTTTTGGGACATCATGTAGTTTCCCTTACTTGGGTTTAAGGGGATCAACCCTAAACCCTAAACCCTAAACCCCAAACCCCAAACCCTAAACCCTAAACCCTAAACCCTAAACCCTAAACCCTAAACCCTAAACCCTAAACCCTAAACCCTAAACCCTAAACCCTAAACCCTAAACCCTAGCATCTGGCAGGTCCGCTTCGCTTAGGCTCCTCGCTGGCGAGGTCCGATGCCGACCGGAACGGGCCTTTTTGTTGCAAGTTCAGCCCTGAAGAGCTCTGAAGGCGAAGTAGAGGGAAGGGTTTAGGGTGTTGCATGTTTGCGGGAAGCCTCCAAAGTCCGTTGCTCAAGAAAAAGGGTTTAGGGTTTAGGGTTTAGGGTTTAGGGTTTAGGGTGCGAAGAATCCTTCAACAGGCTGCCTCACTCAACCCACACCTTGAACATCACCAATAGAGAACCATGGGAGGTGTAGGCTCCTTGGCGTCTATAGCAACAGCCCTACGATATTGATCTACTTCATCCTGTAGAAAAACCTAATTCCTAAACCCTAAACCCACTGAGTCCTATCAGCCCAACCTTGTCACACCTAACGCTACTCCGAGCCCCAAGCAGGGAGAACCCAAGAAACCCTCCTTGACAGGGCACTCAAACAACTTTGGAACCCTAAACCCTAAACCCTAAACCCCTAGAGGTTTTGCTCTTGTGGGGCCTGGCTGGCGCAGCGTCACGGTCTAGGGTTTCTCCGGGGCTCCCAGTAGCTGTACCGGAAGCCCTAAACCCTAAACCCTTGGGTTACGCTTGGACCAGTACTCTGACTTAAGGAAGGTTCCTGACTTGTTTTTGGGTGTATCTGTATCGTTTTTAGACACAGATTTTCAACCCCAAACCCTGGAGATTTATGACGAACCAAGCCGGAGCAGGAGGAAGCTGTGTTCCTGGAGGGTTGAACCATCTGGGTAGCTCTCTAAATTAGGGTCGCCTTTGGGGTCCTTTTCTATAAGGTGCCGTAGTTTTTTTAGGGGACCCAAAAAGGCGCCCTAATTTAGCCCAGAGACTTTGTACAGCTGTAGCGGCCATTGGAAGGCAATTCAGATGACTTATGGTAGGTCTTGCGTTGGTGCCAGGAGGAATAGAGACGGAGAGAGCGCGAGAGGGAGAGAGAGCGCGAAAGACATACGATTCTTACCCTAATTACTTACTAAGTCAAACGTTTCCCTAAACCCTAAACCCTAAACCCTATTCCCTAAACCTTATACCCTAAACCCTGAGCCCTTTTTCAAGGGGGCTTCAAAACAAAAACAGGGTTTGCCAACAAGGCCTCGCTTGCAGAAGGTCGAGAGCGTAATCAGTGGCTCGCCAACACACACATCTGCGAATCTGGGGGTTTAGGGTTTAGGTTTTAGGGGTTTAGGGTTTAGGGTTTAGGGAGCCTCAAACCCTGGGGACCAAATGAACCCCAAAATTGGGATCATCTACCCTATAATATTACCTGGGGTTCGATTTGCCTACATTTTAGTAGTAGCTGCCCCTTAGTCAGTAGGTAAAACTCACGAAACTGTAAGTAAAGAGAGTTTCAGGTATAAGTTCAGGCTCCTATGAAGGCCCATGGACCATGTAAACCCTTCTAGGGTTCGTTTGGTCCCCAAGGAAGGAGGTCAGCGCTCTTTTCTTTGTGGTGCTTTACTGTGACTTTAGATCCTTCGCCTTTTTGGGTTTATTGGGTTTCCTAGTCAGGCAGCTATACATTTACATTATAGCTACCCTCCTAAGTGCAGCCAAGTTTTGGGGGGTTTAGGGTTTCGGGTTCAGGGTGCAGGGTTTAGGGTTTAGGGTTTAGGGTTTCCGAATCAACTGTCCTCAGGAAAGTCCAGCCCTCTGAGGGGAGATTGGTGTACCTTGCGAGCCCAAAGCCTAGATTGTCCTAGGACCCAGAGTAGGCTCAGGGTTTAGGGTTTAGGGTTTAGGGTTTAGGGTTTAGGGTTTAGGGTTTAGGGTTTAGGGTTTAGGGTTAGGTTCCCTGAGAAGTCCCTTTAAACCCAGGAGGGGATACCCCTAACGGGGTCCTGGTAACCTACAAACAAAGTCTTCGGTTTTTTTGGGGTTTAGGGTTTAGGGTTTAGGGTTTAGGGTTTAGGGTTTAGGGTTCCTAAGGTACTTCCAGGCTCGCCAGGGTTGAGGGATGTTGGGCTCGTAGGTGTTTTGCTGCCAGGATCACCCTTTCAGCCTTTGATGTCACCATTGTTCACCGTTTGCTTCACGCCTCTCAACTCTACAAGCGCCGAAACCTTTCTTGAAACTCCTGATTCCAAATGTACCCCAGAGCGCTCCAGAACCAAGCAGGGTCAGTCTAGCTGTCTCAGGTGTAGAGGCATGCAAAGGCCAAGAAACTGCGCCCTGCGAATTTCGGGCTAAGGGTCTTAGGACATCGGCTGCCATGAGTGCAAAAAGATGGGGGTGAGGTTACTTGGAACTTTGGACGCAAAAATCCCTACAACCCCAAAACCCTAAAACCTCAAAACCCTAAAGCCCTCACACCCCAACACCCCCAAACCCCAAAACCCCCAAAACCCCCAAAACCCCAAAACCCCAAAACCCCAAAACCCTAAAAACCCCAAAGCCCCAAAACCTCAAAACCCCAAAACCCCAAAACCCCAAAGCCCCAAAACCCCAAAACCTCAAAACCCCAAAACACCCCAAAACCCTAAAACCCCAAAACCCCAAAACCCCAAAACCTCAAAACCCCAAAACCCCAAAAAAACCCAAAACCCAAAACCCTAAAACCCTACAACCCCAAAACCCCAAAACCCCAAAAACCCCAAAACCTCAAAACCCCAAAACCCCAAAATCCCCAAACCCCCCAAAACCCCAAAAACCCAAAACCCCCAAACCCCAAACCCCTCAGTAGAAGCCTTTGCGCCTGGTCACGGTCGGCCCAGGCGAAGCAAAATCCGAGGCATGGTTGGCCCGCGAGCTGGGTATTCCCATTTACGACGCTCGGCCTATCTAGGGTTTAGGGTTTAGGGTTTAGGGCTTAGGGCTTAGGGCTTAGGGCTTAGGGCTTAGGGTTTAGGGTTTAGGGTTTAGGGCAGCTGTAGCATTCAGGGTCTTATGAACCCGAATAGGGTTTAGGGTTTAGGGACCCTAAATTATACTTTTTCTTAGCCTGATTGTTCGGCTGCGATAATTGAAGCACATTCGATAACGATAAACGAGGAAGTGTCCTCGCCTCTGGACCGGAAGCCCACGGAAGCCCAAATCCCCACAGGGCTCGGGATTCCTCAGCTTGGTTTTCTCGGACGCAGAGTAGGCCCTTACTACCTTTTTTAGGGTTTGAACCCTAAACCCTAAACCCTAAACCCTGATTGTGATTGTGATTGTGAGTCAGGTTTCGGGTTTAGGGTTTGGGGTAACTAGGACCCAGACTTGGCCCTTCTTCTCTTTTTTAGGTTCTCTTACACGCCCCTTTTAAGCCAAAAAGGGTGCTCTTGTTATTCCAAGGTTTCGAATTTTTCAGGTACCCATCGTACATCCACCCTCAACCTAAAAAGGTCCAACCCCAACCCTATGACCGGTCTGCCGCCGGTCTTCAGTCCAGGTCTTACAGCAGTCGCTGACTATCTTCAAGAAGTACTGCTCTGACTACGCCTTCTGGCTCAGACATGTCTGGCTAGGGGGGGGGGGGGGTGCAGAGTCCCTAAAGTCTTGGAATTCATGGTTTGGGTTGTGGCTGCGGAATTTCCGGGGTCCTCCCGAGTGCACTGCTGCTGCTGCTGCTGCTGCTGCTGCTGCTGCTGCTGCTGCTGCTGCTGCTGCTGCTGCTGCTGCTGCTGCTGCTGCTGCTGCTGCTGTTATTTTGTTAGGCTCTTGACCCGCAGCGTGGTACCTGTTGGTTTCCTCTTGGTTTTGGGGGCGTTGGGGGCGTTCGGGTTTGACTAAGTTCATTTGGGGTTGAGTCTTACGCGTTTTGAGCTTCGAAGCCTTCTGATGATGTTATTAGGGTTTCAGGCTTTAGGATTCAGGGGTACCATGAACTCCTTCATTCAGAAGCCACGGCTCTGCCGTGGTTCATACCTTGGGACCGAAGGAGCTCTAAACGGGTTCATGGTTCATATACCTCCATAGGAATTGTAGGAGTATAGGGTATATGACCGCAGATTTTGGGGTTCATTGGGTCTTCAGGGTACAGGCCACCTGCTTCTCAAGCCCTAAAACGCACAGCTAGGACGGGACCAACCTGTTCTCAGTGCAGCAGCCTGGCAGTGCAAGTCAAATCTCACCACGTCGGGTTTAGGGTTTAGGATGGTTTAGGGTTTAGGGTTTAGGGTTTAGGGTTTAGGGTTTAGGGTTTAGGGTTTAGGGTTTAGGGTTTAGGGTTTAGGGGGGAGGTCGGAACCCCTAAACCTAAACCAACCCCCCCCCGGCTGCAGTTCGAGTCCACGTGCTCTGTTCCTCATGCAACTCTACATCGAGTCGCGCACCCCTGCAACTTGAGGTTGAGGAGGTTTTTGGGCCTCTTCCCAGTTCCGAGGTTTTGGGCTGTCAGAAACCCGGAAGCCTTTGGGCTTCTGTGGCTAGGTAGGGGCGGGGGGCAGCACAAACTCTTACGGTTTGATGTCCGAACTCGTTATTGGGAGGTGTGTGTCCTGACTGATTAGAAATAGGAAGCATCCGCAGCCCTACTTGCTTCGGTCTGCTAAACCCTAAACCCTAAACCCTAAACCCTAAACATCTCAGACTGGAGTAGCACAACAACTCTCCACTGCGAGTGCCACGATTCCCTCTTTCAGACCAAGAAGCGCCTTTTCCACCCTATGGGGATCGGGTACATTGTGCCGTGCTCTTGGAAGCTTACATTTCTTGGGTAGGCCTTTGGGGCATTGCACATTTTTGGAACATTTCATATTTTCCCTCATTGGGTTTGAGAGGATCACGTTCAGGAGTAGGTTTCGGAGCGTTTAAGTGCCAACCCAGTTTCCAGTACATAGGGTTGTCTTGCTCACATCGCTTGAGCAGCCGCCCTGTTGTTCATCATCAAGGCACAGATGTCGGAAGCTGCGTGTCCAGACGTGAGAAGCCCTAAGCCCTAAACTTAACGCCCTAAACCCTAAACCCTAAACCCTAAACCCTAAACCCTAAACCCTAAACCCTAAACCCTAAACCCTAAACCCTAAACCCTCAATGCTTGCCTCAGCCACACTGCAGGTTTGACATGAGAAACTTTGCAGCCGTCCTTTGCGAGATGTGGCGCGGCCGAAGTATCTCAAATTCTGTGCTTAGGGTTTAGGGTTTAGGGTTTAGGGTTTAGGGTTTAGGGTTTAGGGTTTAGGGTTTAGGGTTTAGGGTTTAGGGTTATCACCCAGACCCCTTGGAAGGATCTAGCAAGTAGATCCCTGGAAGGAACAGAAAGTACCCTGCAGGAGCATAAGGTATCGACTGGGGCTCTACTTTCTGGATTTTTTTGCAGGGGTCTTGGGTGCCAGGGGTAAGGGTCGTGCCACTGGTTGCCCGTCTCGGGGCTGGTTAGGGAGAGAGAGAGAGGGAGGGAGAGAGAGAGAGAGAGAGAGAGAGAGACAGAGGCCCCCCCCATACCGGGGCGGGCGAGGACGCCCGGGGGTTCGCCCCCATGCCCCCAAGAAAGAAAGAAAGAGAGAGAGGGAGGGAGGGAGGGAGGGAGGGAGGGGGGGAGAGGGAGGGGGGGGGAGAGGGAGGGGGGGTGCGGGGGGGGGGCGGCCCTCCTCAAAGGGGGGAGGGTTAAGTGCGCAGAGAGACAGAAAGAAAGAAAAGAGAGAGGGATAGATCCTGTCTGGGGCTGGGCCAGTGTTTTTGAGTTTCAAGGAAAGCCTCAAAACCCGGCCAGACCCCTACACCCTAAACACCCAGACCCCACACCCTAAACCCCCCTAACACCCTAAACCCCTCAACCCTCAACACCCTAATCTATGCACACCCTAAACACCCCAAACCTCCACACTCCTAAACCCCTAAACATCTTAACCCCTAAACAACCTAAACCCTAAACAAACCCCAAAATCTAAACAGCCCTAAACCCTAAACAAACCCCAAACATCCTAAACCCCAAGACGCTAAGAGGAACCCCTAAACCCTAAATACCCCTAAATAGTCCTAAACCCTAAATAACCCTAACCCTAAACCCTAAATACCCCTAAACCCTAAACCCTAAACCCTAAACCCGAAGAAGCTCAGAGGACTGGCGTGGACTCCACAGAGCAGCTGGAGACTCGCTTTGTCTCGGAGGCGAAACAAACCCTAAGGGTCTAGGGTTTAGGGTTTAGGGTTTAGGTGTAACCCTGTAGCTCAGAACCCCACAAACCTATAATCCTAGTGGCTCGATCTCTCTTCGGCACCTGGGGGCTTCTGTGACTCGCGGTTGGCACCCAAAGCGGTTAGGGTTTAGGGTTTAGGGTTTAGGGCTTAGGGTTTAGGGTGTAGGGTTTAGGGCTCAGTGGGGTTTTGGGGCTCTTGGGCAACTGTGCCCCGGGCAACTGTGCCCCGGGGCGGAAGGCACAGTCTCAAAAGGTGTTTCCCGGAATCCTGTTTCCCCCCCCCCCCCCCCCACCGTATACCCAATAGACAACGTGCGTACGTCAGATTCCTTCTTAAGAAGGGAACACTATGTGCCAAGTACTTCCCTTAGATACTCTGCAAGTGCAAGCCCCCAAACCCTAAACCCGAAACCCTAAAGCCTTAACGCCAGGCTTTCCGGCAGGCAGACTTCACCAAAAGCGGAGGTGTGACATGCAAAGAGCCCCTTCGCTCAGAGACCAGGGCATGTCATAATCCAGGTTCTTGTAGGCAATTTGGGAATCACTTTGTGTTTCTTTACTGTAACTTTAGTCCTTACCTTTTTTGGGTTTATTGGGTTTCTTATTAAGGCAGCTAAAAGTTTAATTTATGGCTACCCTCCTGCGTGCAGCCAAGATCTGATACCTACACAACCCTGTAATCGGGCATTCATGGGAAGACGTTGATCTTCTGAATTCCTTATAGCCAGTAAGACTTGTGGGTTCGGGTTTTCAAGGGCTCAATTCGCCAAGGACTCTCTTGAGCTTGTTTTCCGCCGTCTCAAACTCAGAACCCCCGTTCAGGTTTGGGTTCTGGGATTTGGGGCCTGCCGCATACCTGCCCGCCCCAGAACGCTTGGAATTGAAAGCTGCCAAGCTTTGATCCAAGGAGCAACCGACTTGTACAGGGTTTAGGGTTTAGGGTCTAGGGTCTAGGGTTTGGGGCGTCCTTTGGGCATTGCTAGTAATTTCGGCGAGACTTCCGACACCGAAGGGTTTGGGATGTAGGGATGGCGGGAGGTGTCGGGCTACCCTAAACCCTAGGCCCTAAAGGCCCTAAACGCCCTAAACGCCCTAAACCCTAAACCCTAAACCTTGACTGAGGTTTGCTTTGTGGTTCGCGGCCTTTGGCTTCTCGAACTACCTTTGCGTCACAAAGGACTTGCTCCAGGGTCTAAATCAGAGACTTGTATTAGTTTAGGGTTTAGGGTTTAAGTTTTAGGGTTTAGGGTTTAGGGTCCTTTGCTGCAACATGGTTGCTGCTCACCTTCAACGCGCAAAACCTTCCTTTTTTTGGTAGAAACGTGCATACATATATATATATATATATACACACATATATATATATATATATGTGGCAGGAACCTTTATGTATGATATGACCTTTTAATTGTTCTCCACACACAACACACCCACACACGCACACTTTGTTCCTTTCTTCTAGACGAGATCGTTGCAAAAGGGGGTTCCCCAGTTCCCCCCCTAGAGCAGGGTTGAGCCCGCTCATTCCTTCCATTTTGCCTTCTTCATCCTCCGTCTCCTCTTCAACCTCTTCTTTGGCTTTTTCTTACAAAGGAGACAGGAAAAGCTAATGGCAGACTCCAGTAATTCTCCCTCTGTTGCCTTCTTTCTCGTGTTCCGACGTCTTCTGTTCCGTCTTCTATTCGAGTAGATTGAAAGGAATATGTCGGTAAAAGGTGTTCACCCTCCCGCAACCTCTTCTTTGGCTGTGTTCTTACAAAGGAGAAAGGATAAAATGCAAGAAGATGAGTCAAAATAAGACAGGTCAAAAAGAAGCAACCTGACGATCAGAGAGAGGGAAGAAAACATTGTTTTGTGAGTTGCAGAGAGGGGCTCCCTCTCCCCCTGGAGCAGGGTTGATTTCCTGTGTTCGCTCTAATTTGCCTTCTTTCTCTCCTGCGTGCCTATGTCTTCTGTTCATGGTTTGAGGAGATTCAAAGGGACAGATAACAAAGGCGAAAAAGTTTCCCTGTCCCTTTCGCTGTCCTTGATCTTAAGAATCTTGTCTTTTCTCAGTCAGCAAGAGAGGAAGACACAGTAGAAGGGAAACAGCAAGGAACGCTTGAAAAAAACAACGGGTACATAAGAGGAAGAAGAAGAAACTCCCTCTCCGCTCTTCTCGATCTTGTTCAGCTCTCTTCTTGCAGATCATCTCCTACCTTCATCCTTCGCATTCTCTCTCTCTTCTCTCTCTCTCTCTCTCTCTCTCTCTCTCTCTCTTCTTTGTTCCTTTCTTCCAGACGAGAAGCAAATGGATAAGACGAGATGGAAAGAGACATTCTTTGCTTCGCTGCAGATTGTGGGAAGAAAACAATGAGTTTAGAATCCAACAGTAGACTGCTTGGGGAACAAGGCTTCCCTTTGCTCTTTTTGTGAAAGTCGGGCATACAACAGTGCGAAGAAATTCTCCCTCCCCTCTTATCCCTGTTCTATAGTCTATCTCGTTACAGAAAGACAAATACATATACAAGGCGCCAATTTCAGTCACTACTCATCCTGCCTCGTCTTTCTTTTCCCACTTCTGTTGCGCTTTTCTTACAGCAGGAAAACGGAACATGCAAGAATGCACATGAATCTCGCCACCATCATCCTCGCTCGTCTCTCTTACCTCCCTTCTCTCTTCTTTGTTCCCCACCCTCGGTGTGGGGTTGTTTGATTTTAAACTCAACTCTTCTCCTCGCCCGGGACTCTTCTCCTCGCCCGGAACTCTTCTCCTCGCCCGGTCTACTCCTCGCTCATCCCTGGAGCGCCCAACCCCAAAGTGTCCCTGGAGTGCCCAACTCTAGAGTGGCCCTGGAGTGCCCAACCCCAGACAACCCCAGCCCAGCCCCAGAGTCTCCCTAGGGCGCCCAACCCCACCGTTTCCAGGAGTGCCCAGCCCAGAGTCTCCAACCCCAGAGTCCCTGGAGGCCCAACCCCAGAGGCCCAGTGCCCAAACCCAGAGTCTCCCTGAAGCCCAACCGCAGTGTCCCCCTGGAGCGCCCAGCCCCAGAGTGTTGCTGGAGTGCCCAACCCCAGAGTATCTCTACCAAGAGAGGGTGGGGATGTTCGAAGCCAAATATTTTCTTACACACGTGACAATGAATACACAAGAGGACAAGGAAAAGAGAAGTTAATGGACGGGAAAAGAGGGGAGGATGGATTGTTTTTGTTCGTGGCAAGAAGGAAGGCCGCTGAGTGCCCTTACACCCTCTCTTTTGCTTTCTTTCTCTCCTGCGTTGCCAGGTTTTCTGTTCTTTTGTGCTTAGGAAATTCAAGGGAACTGCAAAAAAAAAGAGGAAGACGCTTTCCTTGTCCCTTTTCGTTGCCCTTGCTCTTTGCTTTTCTCATTCAGCGAGAGAGGAAAAAACAATAAAGAATGGACAAAAGTAGGAAGAAGTGTTCCTTGCCCCTTGTCGTTGCCCTTGCTCTCTTCTTTTCTCGTTCAGCGAGAGAGGAAGAGATTGTAGGACGAAAACAGCAAAGAATGAACCAGAGTGCTTCTCTCTATTATCTTATTGAGAAGAATGAGCGCATAAGACTGGGAGGAAACGCACTCCTCGCTTTTCCGTCTGCTTTGGCTCTTTTCTTGCATACGAAACAAATGAATACACAAAAAGGCATGAAGAGACAACTGGGAGAAAACGACAAGGAGCTGACCCGAGTGCTTGTCTTCTCTTACGGGCAAAATAAGATAGGTCAAAAAGAAGCAAATGGACTATCAGAGAGAGGGAAGAAAACATTGTTTTGTGAGTTGCAGAGAGGGGCTCCCTCGCCCCCTGGAGCAGGGTTAATTTCCTGTGTTCGCTCTAATTTGCCTTCTTTCTCTCCTGCGTGCCTATGTCTTCTGTTCATGGTTTGAGGAGATTCACAGGGACAGATAACAAAGGCGAAAAAGGTTTCCCTGTCCCTTCCGCTGTCCTTGATCTTAAGAATCTTGTCTTTTCTCAGTCAGCAAGAGAGGAAGACGCAGTAGAAGGGAAACAGCAAGGAATGCTTGGAAAAAAACAACGGATACATAAGCGGAAGAAAAAGAAGAAGAAACTCCCTCTCCTCTCTTCTCGATCTTGATCAGCTCTCTTCTTGCAGATCATCTCCTACCTTCATCCTTCGCTTTCTCTCTCTTCTCTCTCTGTCTGTCTGTCTCTCTCTCTCTCTCTCTCTCTCTCTCTCTCTCTCTCTCTCTCTCTCTTCTTTGCCCGACTTTCACAAAAAGAGCAAAGGGAAACCTTGTTCCCCAAGCAGTCTACTGTTGGATTCTAAACTCATGGTTTTTCTTCCCACAATCTGCAGCGAAGCAAAGAATGTCTCTTTCCATCTTGTCTTATCCATTTGCTTCTCGTCTGGAAGAAAGGAATACGACAGGGCGAAGAAATTCCCTCTGCCCTCTTATCCCTGTTCTGTAGTCTATCTCGTTACAGAAAGACAAATACATATGCAAGGCGCCAATTTCACTCACTACTCATCCTGCATCGTCTTTGTTTTCCCACTTCTTTAGCGCTTTTCTTACAGCAGGAAAACTGAACATGCAAGAATACACATGAATCTCGCCACCATCATCCTCTCTCGTCTCTCTTATCTCTCCTCTCTCTTCTTTGCTTTCTTTTACACGTGACAAATGAATACACAAGAGGACAAGGAAAAGAGAAGCTAATGGACGGGAAAAGAGGGGAGGATGGATTGTTTTTGTTCGTGGCAAGAAGGGAGGCCGCTGAGTGCCCTTACACCCTCTCTTTGCTTTCTTTCTCTCCTGCGTTCCCAGGTCTTCTGTTCTTTTTTGCTTAGGAAACTCAAGGGAACTGCTAAAGAAACGAAGAAGAAGTTCTCCTTGTCCCTTTTCGGTGGCCTTGCTCTTTTCTTTTCTCACTCAGCGAGAGAGGAAGAGACTGCACAACAAAGAATGGACAAGAGCGCTTCTCTCTTATCTTATTCAGAAAATGGATAGGTCAGAGGAGGAAGAAACCCCCCCTGTCCTCAGTCTCCATGTCTTCTCTTCTTTTCTCTTCTCTTCTTTACGTGTTCATCAAAGCGTGCAAAGGAAACTCCATTCGCACCCTTTCCTTTCTGTCTTCTTCAAAGGAAAAGCGGAAGGCAAGGCACAAACCGAAGACAAAAGAACAAACGATCAGAAGAAGGAAACATTATATAGACTGAAAAGGCTATCCTTCTTGTTTCTCATTGTTTTTCCATCGCTCTCTCTCTTCAATTCTATCCAGATATTTTCTTTTTCCTTTTGACGAGGAAAATGGAAAGAGAAGGTCCTTTCTCTTCGTCCCTCGTGTTCTTTCCAAAAAACGAAGAGTATATGCGTTGTGTGAAAAGGTAGAAATTCTAACGCGTCGCGCAGGTATATAGGATGTATGTGTTGCATGAACAGCTAGGAATTTCTACCCACATCGTGTAGGTATGTAGCGTATCTGTATTGTATATCAAATAAAGAAATGGAGAAGAAAGGGCGGTAATCCTGAACCGAAAGACTAGGAAGTATTTGAGGGCATTGGTGTTTTTGTATGTAAACATGGGTTGTCATTTCAATGTTTCCCAAAGGGTCACCGAAAACAATTATCATTTCTCACACATGAATTATCCCCAATAGTCCAATAGTCACAAATAAATATCTCATAAACCCTACCCATTTTTCTTACGTTTAGATTTCTAAGCACCGTATTCGATTAAGGCTAGGGTCAAACCCTATTCCAAGCTGTACGCATGCTTCTGTAGTTTTGGGACATTGCCTTCCTAAACCTATTCTTTTAACGTTGCAGGCCAAAACATATGCATGAACCTTCTTTGTTTGAGGTTTTGCGCCGGACGCTGAGGTCTAATAATTCTAGATTCCTAAACCACGCACCTGGGCACGACGAGGTTGCGGGAGAGGGGGGGAGGGGCGCGAGCCTTATGGCTGAAGCTAGTTCGTTTAATGCTTAAGCCTAACCCTATTCCTAAACCTTATTCGTCCAAGGGTTAGGACCAAAGCATATTCGTTTCGCTTCAGCAATCGAGCGCCTGGGAGATTTCAGAGTGAAAAAAAACGCTTCCCTTGGACAAAACATCAGGGGAATGGGAATCGAAGCGGCAAAAAACTCAAGGGGCTTCTTCAAAATCGAGGGGAAAAAGAGGATGTCCAAGAATTTCAAGGGAATCAGGCCGAAACTCAAGAGACTCCAGCCGAGTTTGAGGGTATTTTTTCCTTTTCTTCAGGAGAAACAACTCGGAGGATATTTTTCATGCGAAGATTGTTGATACTTAACGAAAATGCCACAGAGGCCACTTAAGATTTGAAAAGGCCCCTTGCATTCTTTTAAAACCCTTGAAAATTGCAAAGAAACAAATATTCTGGGGAATTTAGGAATTTAAGGAATTCAAGGAATTTCAGAAGTTCTAATTCGTCTGGGTTTCCGGCCCGCTGGAATTAGGAAATTAGGAATTTAGGAGTTTTGGCCTTCAGCCGAAATTCCTAAATTCATAAATTCCTAAATCCCGGGAAGTAGGAATTTAGGAATTCAGGAGTTTTGGCCTGAAGCCGAAATACCTAAATTCCTAAATTGCCAATTCCAGCGGGCCGGAAACCCAGAGGAATTAGAACTTCTGAAAATCCTTGAATTCCTGAAATTCCTAAATTCCTAATTCCCGGGAATTAGGAATTTAGGAATTTAGGAATTTCGGTTACAGGCCCAAAACTCCTAAATTCCTAAATTCCTAATTCCAGCGGGGCGGAAACCCAGAAGAATTAGGACTTCTGAAATTCCTTGAATTCCTTAAATTCCTAAATTCCTAATTCCCGGGAATTAGGAATTTAGGAATTTAGGAATTTCGGCTGAATGCTAAAATTCCTAAATTCCTAAATCCCTAATTTCCGGGAATTGGGAATTTAGGAATTTAAGGAATTCAAGGAATTTCCGAAGTTCTAATTCCTCTGGGTTTCCGGCCCGCTGGAATTAGCAATTTAGGAATTTAGGAATTTCAGCTACAGCCCAAAACTCTTAAATTTCTAAATTCCTAATTCCCGGGAATTAGGAATTTAGGAATTTAGGAATTTCGGCTACAGGCCAGAACTCCTAAATTCCTAATTCCAGCGGGCCGGAAACCCAGAGGAATTAGAACTTCTGAAATTCCTTGAATTCCTTAAATTCCTAAATTCCTAATTCCAGCGGGCCGGAAACCCAGAAGAATTAGAACTTCTGAAATTCCTTGAATTCCTTAAATTCCTAAATTCCTAAAATTCCCGGGAATTAGGAATTTAGGAATTTCGGCTCAAGGCCAAAACTCCTAAATTCCTAATTCCAGCGGGCCGGAAACCCAGAAGAATTAGAACTTCTGAAATTCCTTGAATTCCTTAAATTTCTAAATTCCTAATTCCCGGGAATTAGGAATTTAGAAATTTAAGGAATTCAAGGAATTTCAGAAGTTCTAATTCTTCTGGGTTTCCGGCCCGCTGGAATTAGGAATTTAGGAGTTTTGGCCTTGAGCCGAAATTCCTAAATTCCTAATTCCCGGGAATTTTAGGAATTTAGGAATTTAAGGAATTCAAGGAATTTCAGAAGTTCTAAGTCTTCTGGGTTTCCGGCCCGCTGGAATTAGGAATTTAGGAATTTAGGATTTTCGGCCTGTAGCCGAAATTCCTAAATTCATAAATTCCTAATTTCCGGGAATTAGGAATTTAGAAATTTAAGGAATTCAAGGAATTTCAGAAGTTCTAATTCCTTTGGGTTTCCGGCCCGCTGGAATTAGGAATTTAGGAATTTAGGAGTTTTGGCCTGTAGCCGAAATTCCTAAATTCCTAAATTCCTAATTCCCGGGAATTAGGAATTTAGGAATTTAAGGAATTCAAGGAATTTCAGAAGTTCTAATTCCTCTGGGTTTCCGGCCCGCTGGAATTAAGAATTTAGGAATTTATGATTTTCGGCCTTTAGCCTCCTAAATTCCTAAATGCCTAATTTCCGGGAATTAGGAATTTAGGAATTTAAGGAATTCAAGGAATTTCAGAAGTTCTAATTTCTCTGGGTTTCTGGCCCGCTTTCCCTAAATTCTTAAATTCCTAATTCCCGGGAATTAGGAATTTAGGGATTTAGGAATTTCGGCTCAAGGCCAAAACTCCTAAATTCCTAAATTCCTAATTTACGGGAATTAGGAATTTAGGAATTTAAGGAATTCAAGGAATTTCAGAAGTTCTAATTCCTCTGGGTTTCTGGCATTAAGAAGTTAGGAATTTAAGAATTTCGGCTACAGGCCAAAACTCCTAAATTCCTAAATTCCTAATTCCCGGAAATTAGGAATTTAGGAATTTAGGAATTTCGGCTACAGGCCCAAAACTCCTAAATTCCTAAATTCCTAATTCCAGGGGGCCGGAAACCCAGAGGAATTAGAACTTCTGAAATTCCTTGAAGTCCTTAAATTCCTAAATTCCTAATTCCGGGAATTAGGAATTTAGGAATTTAGGAATTTCGGCTCAAGGCCAAAACTCCTAAATTCCTAAATTCCTAATTCCGGGAATTAGGAATTCAGAAATTTAAGGAATTCAAGGAATTTCAGAAGTTCTAATTCCTCTGGGTTTCTGGCCCGCTGGAATTAGGAATTGAGGAATTTAGGAGTTTTTGCCTTAAGCCGAAATTCCTAAATTCCTAATTCCCGGGAATTAGGAATTGAGGAATTTAGGAATTCAGGCCTTAAGCCGAAACTCCTAAATTCCTCAATTCCTAATTCCGGGGAATCAGGAATTTAGGAATTTAGGAATTCGGGCCTTAAGCCGAAACTCCTAAATTCATTAATTCCTAATTTCAAGGAATTAGGAATTTAGGAGTTTCGGCTTAAGGCCTGAATTTGTTAAATTTCTAATTCTTTATATTGGAGTAAGGAGGCAAGGACAAAGGTCAAATGATACGTAAAGGTTCCTCTTACATATATATATATATATATGAGCTACCCCCCCCCCCCCCCAGTGACCTACCCTTTTCCGCCTTGTCCCAAGTCACCCAGCTGAGGGGGGGGGGGGGGGGGTAGCATATATCTATATATATATATACATACATACATACATATATATATATATGTGTACATATGTACATATGTATATGTATGTGTATGTGTATACGTGTATGTATATGTGTACATATATATATACTTTTATATACACTCACATGAGTGTTTTGTTCATCTTCTGTATTCGAACATGGAAACAACAACATATATGCAGTGTAATGTAACATCATGCAGTATCATGCGGACTCACATCCTGCATTTGACGCAAAGTGGCGTATACCTCCTCAACCAAGGGGCTTCAATCCCTCAGCCTCCCTAAACCCTAAACCCTCAACCCTCAACCCTAAACCCTAACCCTGAACCCTAAACCCTAACCCCCCCCCCCCCCGAGATACTGTATTTCGAGATGGCCCTCACCCAGGTGCATCATGACATTCACGCCCTACACTAAACCCTAAACCCTAAGCCCAAAAACATCCCAAAACCTTCCCTCCCCACCCCCCAGAAAACTCTTCAGGTGCCAAGGGGACCCAAATTTCCTGGGCATCCTAAACCCTAAACCCTAAACCCTAAACCCTAAACCCTAAACCCTAAACCGCGCTTTTCTCCAGGAGGATCTCCCCTACCGCGGCCTGGCGCGGAAGTCGCAGCCTCGGCGTGGTTCTGGGCAGCCCCAGGTCCGGGGACCAACTTTGGGGGTTTACGATAACAAGGGTTTGGGGTGTAGGGTTTAGGGTTTAGGGTTTAGGGTTTAGGGTTTAGGGTTTAGGGTTTAGGGTTGGGGACCCCTAAAACGGACTCCCAAACAGTCGGACCCCCTTCAAATAAGGACCCCAACAAGGTACCCCCCGCCCCCAATCTCAGAAAGCAGCAAATGAATCCTAAGCTTGGGGTCATCTACCCTCACTCCTATCAAGATAGTATGAGCCGTAAACCCTTTGAGAGCTCATCCCTGGGCCTCTCAAAACTTACAGTCTAGTGGATGATACCCTACTAATTAAACTAAGGGGTATTGAAGAGAGGCCCCAGGACTACTCTATACTTCTGCAACCCCTTGTTCTTACAAGGGAAGGGGGGGATTAGGGCCCTATATATGCCCTTTGAGGGATTGTCTAGGGTACCTCGTTCCCTCATTCCCTATTAACAACCAGGCAGACAAGCCCTCTTCAGGTTTAGGGGTCCATTGGTCCCCAAGGGAGCCCTTTGGGCGGAAGGCTTGTTTAGGGTTCAGGGTTTAGGGTTTAGGGTTTAGGGTTTAGGGTTTAGGGTTTAGGGTTCAGGGTTTAGGGTTTAGGGTGTAGGGTGTAGGGTTTAGGGTTTAGGGGTTTCCATGCTTTGCCCACGTCGGGCTCAAGAGATTCGATGTCGGAGCTTTCTGCGAAGGTGCAGGGCCATCCTGGGTCCTCAGGCCCCTTAAGGACCCTAAGATCTCTCAGAAGCCCAAATGCCTCACAGAGCCCTGAAGCCCTAGGAGCCCTAAAACCTAAACTTTTGGCCCTTAATTAAGCCCTAGAGCCCTGGAGCCCTAAAGCCCCTAAACCCTAAACTCTTCAACCAGAGCCCGATAAAGGCCCAGAAGCCCAAGGTTAGGCATCGACGTGCTGCAACTGGAGCGTTACAAAGAGACGTTCGATCGGTACGACGAGGCGCGCGGCTTTACATGCCCTTACCGAATTCACTGTGCTGCTTCGGGCTTTAGGGTTTTGGGTTTGAGGGGATACCTGGGACTCTATTTCACCTACAGTTCAGTAGAAACTGCCCCTGAATAATTAGGTAGAACCCACAACACTGCAGGTAAAGAGTCCCAGGTAAGCTTTAGGGTTTAGCTGTCACACGGTGCGTAGGTTTAGGGTTGGAGGTTAGGGTTTAGGGTTGCGGTCCCACCCCGTCCCCCCTGTAGTTGGGGGGGGTGGGGCTTAGGCTTTAAGGTTTAGGGTTTAAGGTTTAGGGTTGAGGGGAGGGGGGTTTGAATCCCTTTAAAGGAGGGATATCATGCGGGGCGGGCGGGGGGACCAGCCAACCGCGAACGGCAATCATATACATATATATATATATATATGTATATGTCTCTCTCTCTCTCTCTCTCTCGCTCTCTCTCTCTCTCTCTCTTTCTGTGTGTGTGTGTCTCTCTCTCTCTCTCGAAGTTTCCAAGTCGTCAGAAAAAAAAACGTGCAGGATGGCAGTGGAGCGCCTTGGCCTGCGGAATCCTGAACCCCTTCGCTGCGTTCGTTTGTGGAGTGCGGGGGAGTGTGGGAGTTTGGGGGGGGGATTTCGGAGCATTCCGAATTTTGCAGCTTCAGGGTTTAGGGCTCAATGTTCTAGGGGTGTGGTCTGTCCTTGGGTGGTACTTACTAACGCAATAATAGCTGTACTTACAACCCACCTGGAACCATATTAGGGCACTTAAGGGGCTTACCCTAAACCCTAAACCCTAAACCCTAAACCCTAAACCCCAAACCCTAAACCCTAAACCCTAAACCCTAAACCCTAAACCCTACAAGTGATATGTGTGTGCAGCTGTGCAGCTTGGACGTGACCTTCTGGAAGCCTTGGCTGCTTGCGTGTGAGAGTCGAAACCCGAAGCCCCAAACCCTGAGCCGCCTTTAGGGTTTAGGGTTTAGGGTTTAGGGTTTAGGGTTTAGGGTTTAGGGTTTAGGGTGCTTTCACTTTTCAGGTTGCAGCACGTTCCTGCACACTAAACATCCCTAAACCCAAGACGAAGGGAGCTGGGTCGTGAACGGGCGTGTTGAAGGTGGGGGGTGTTACCGCAGTAGACTCCCTCTCCTGTGCCAAACCTGCGGTAATGCAGGGGCCTGAAATAATCACCATCATTATCCCTTTATTACTCCCCATACTTCTGATTACCTTGAAAACCCAAAACCTACTTTGTTGTAGGTTCCCCAAGAATCCTATAAGGGGCATTGATTATAATGGCCTACACATTTGCAGGCTTTGGGTTGTTCAGGTAGAAAAGCTACCACAAATCGCCATGCTAATTTCAACGAACCCCCGGTGGTAATATCGAGGCCTGAATAAGTAGAATAGTTTTTTATTTTATTATTTTTTTTGTTGTGTTAGTAAAGTGAGAAAGGGACCAGGAAGAAACTATGAAAACACATGCGCCGTTCGTTTTTCCATGATTACATTACACATAATCTATGTTGTGTTATAATATATGAATATCTTGATATATTGATATACTAATATATCCGTATTTTACTATATTACTATAGTGATGTATTGATATATTCATATACTATTCTATTCGCACACAATGGTACCAGCTCAGGCCATTGACATGGAGGAGTTCGAATGCGTACTTCACGACTTCCTGAAGGCGATCTGCCGGTTGTTTGCATTTTTTTTCTCCAGCCTCTTGGGTTTGGGGCTTGGGGTTTATGGACCCTTTGCAGATAAGTGAACATGTCTCTTTGCTGAGTGTATGGGCCGCAGAGACAGTAGAGGCGCGCTCGGATGAAAAGGGTTTAGGGCTCCCATTTCCATTGCTGCCCTGCACTCGAATCAACAGCATACCTTACAGTGGGTCCTTCGAATCTTTTGTTTCCCCCCCCCCCCTCCACAAAATAAAGACTCCACATAAACGCGAAACCCTAAACCCGAGACCCTCAACCCTTGTTTTTGTTCAGATCCATTGGCTTAGAGCTGGAGACCCTGCTTGGTCACTTCCCAGCTACTTCTTGAGATGTGCTCCCTTACTAATACGGGCTTGTTAGTATAAGGGGGAACATCCCAAGCTACTTGCAACAGGCGCTCCCGAAAAGTCTGGGTTTTGATATTCTGCTGTCTGGGCTGTCTAGGTTAGGAGGTATAGTTCGTGACCGCCCCCCCCCCCCCCCCCCCCTCCCGTAAAAAACTGAGGGCCCCCTTAAAATGACCCAGACCGGGTCTTTTGGTCTTTTGGGTTTAGGGTTTAGGTTTTTGGGACCTGAACCCTCTAAAGCGAAAACCCGAGCTCCGATCGTCCGACATGTTGCAATTACCCACCCCTCTCCCCCAAAAAAATGCAGAGAAGACAATCAATGAGGAACCTCATGAATATACATCATGAAGTAAGTATACCTACAAGGTCCTCTCTCAGCGCGATTCTAGATATGCTTGCAGCCCTAAACCCCAAACCCTCAACCTCAACCCTCAACCCTCAACCCTAAACCCGAAACCCTAAACCCTAGAAAGGTTCCCCCTGGTCACCACCTCTCCCGCGAGCGGATCATGGTCTTGTGGCGCGATGCCGATCAAGAGGCTCGAGCCTTGTGGGGGGCTGTAAGGTTGTCTAGGGTTTAGGGTTTTGGGTTTAGGGTTTAGGGTGGGTTCTACCCAGAGCCTTGGGAGGATCCAAAGAGGGCTTAGGGTTTAGGGCTTCGAAACCCTAAACCCTAAACCTAAACCCTAAACCCTAGTACGCAATGTTAGGGTTTGGGTTCCCTTCTAATTCTATGCCTCCTTAAAGCCAAAAAGGCCGGTACCCATAACAAGTTGACCTAATCCCCATGAGGGGTATTATAATCAGAACCTGCAACAACATAGGTTTGGGGTAAGGCAGGGTTGGGATTTGGGTGTAGGGTTTAGAGCGCTGTGGGGTTTTCGGGCAAAGGGTGCACGCGCGGATGCACGGCAGGGTTTGGAGTTTGAGATCTCAGGGCTTTGCTAGGAATTAGGGCTTGAAGGTTCTGTAGCTTTCAGGCCGAAGTGTCCGGAAAGAGGGATGACCGGGAGCAAGAATCCCAATGCCACTTAAACTGACCTGGTGAAAGAATTCTGCCCCACATGTTGGGATGTTCCCCTCCATATACTAACAGTCCATACCAGGGATCCTAGTACTCCTACTATAATCTCAACTAAGGACTGTTAAGCAGAATATCGTCACATCCCACCCCGCATGCCTTGCCCTAAGAACCCAGGACCTCATTCTTACGGTTCAGGGTTTAGGGTTTGTGGGTTAAACCTAGCAGGTCTCTATAAGATAGTATGCTACGGACCCACAAGAAAAGCACCTACTACTTGCTTAAGACCGAAAAATAGCACACATGTTCTGTAGACGTTCAACATAGGGATTCTTGTCTCTTTTTTTTTTTTTTTTTTGGGGGGGGGGGGGGGGGGGTTCTTAAGCGAATGGTAGAAGATGAAGGCTTTGGGCGCTGAACATGTGATTCGGGCACCACCACAAGGGCCACGAATCACCCGTGAACCACCCCACCACCCTGCCTACAACCCCAAGCCCCTGCCCCTTACGCCTCCCCCCCCCCCTCCCTCCCTCAAATCGCACAGACCTGTGTGCCCCTCCCCCAAATCGCATCTGCGTGAAACCCTAAACCCTAAACCCTAAACCCTAAACCCTAAACCCTAAACCCTAAACGCCGTGTCAGGCTAAGGGGGAGCTGGACCTGGAATCGCAGCTTGGGCTGCAGGGAGATTCCTTCGTACCTGGAGGTCCACTGCTTACCTTTGAGAACCAAAGGAACCCTAAAAGGGTTTGGGGTTTAGGGGTTTAGGGGTTTAGGGGTTTAGGGGTTTAGGGGTTTAGGGGTTTAGGGGTTTAGGGGTTTAGGGTTTAGGGTTTAGGGTTTAGCCCTACAAGGGTTTATGGTTCATATACCTTTAATAAGGATTATAGCAGTACAGGGTATATGGTCCCATTTTTAGGGTTCATTTGGTTCCCAAGGCAGAGCCCACCATGGTGAGGTTTAGGGTTTGGGGTTTAGGGTAGCCGACAACCCACTCGGAAGTTAGGGGTTTAGGGTTAGGGTTTAAAGTTTAGGGTTTAGGATTTAGGGTTTAGGGTTTAGGGTTTAGTTCAGGGTTGAGGGTTGAGGGCTTGAGGGTTTACATCAACCCACACGCAGAGCCCCAAAACACTCTCAATAAAGGAATCGTCCTCACAATTCATCCGGGCCCCTCGCGCGGTTTGAGGCTTCATACTGCTTCTGCAAAGACAGGTATTGGGCGCTCCACAGAAGGCAGCCCTCAGGGTTCCTGATAATTCTGAAAAAAGCATGAGGGAGTTAGGCACCCCTATATCCCCTATGATCTACCGATGTTTTTGGGGGGCACAACTCATCCCCTCATTCCCTCCGAACCTGGAACCCCGACATCAGACCCAAACAGCTACAAAGCCATTGACACCTTCTTTCGGCCATTGGGGGTTTAGGGTTTAGGGTTTAGGGTTTAGGGTTTAGTGTTTAAGCTATTGGGAGTTCGGGGTCTTTAGGTCTTTAGCAGCCTTCAGGTGTTTTGGTATGCCTGGGACTCTCTTTACCTACAGTTTAACGGGTTGTACCTACTAATTCCGGGGTAGCTACTACTAAACTGTGGGTACATGGAGTCCTAGGTATGGTTTAGCAGGGGTTTTGGGGTTGGGGCAGCGCGAGCTTCACCAAGGTTCTGCCGCTTCTGCCAGCGACGCTTCGAAAAAGATTCGGGCTCGGAGATCTCGTTCAGACCCTCGGCATCTTCACGTGTTTTTGGTTGCTTGGGTTTAGGGTTTAAGTGTGCGTAGCATCAAAAGCGAAACCCGACAAGCCCCAAAGCCACTTTTCTTTGCGCCCTAAGCCCTCAAAACCTAAACCCAACCCTGAGCCCCTCCCTAAACCCTAAACCCTAACCCTAGAACCCTTGAACCGTAAACCCTAAACCCTAGACCCTGGCCTGGCATCCTTCGCAAGCTTTGTTGCTGGGTTCCGAGTATGGGGCCTTAGTTTGGGTCCCTTGTTATATCATGGTTGAGGGTTTAGGGTTTAGGGTTAGGGTTTAGGGTGTAGGGTTCAGGGTTTAGGGTTTAGGGTTTAGGGGAAGGGTTTAGGGTTTAGGGTTTGGGGTTTAGGGTTTAGGGTTTAGGGTTGAGGGGCCAGGGTTCCGACCTTAGAGATAAGGCAGGCTCGAGAATCCCGAAATCCGAGGCTTGAGTTTAGCGCCGCGATGCGGTGACATTTAGGCTATGAGGTTTAGGGTTCGGGGTTTGGGGTTTAGGGTTTAGGGTTCGTCCCCAATTCTTTTCAGATTTCGGGAACGCCCTACATTACCACACGCCCATAACCTACACAGGCGACTACTACCGGAGCATACGCCGGATTCCTTCGGCACCGTCCTTTGTTTGAGCCACTTGGGCTGACGTTAAGGGACCAAGTGTTTCTGGGCGATGACTGTTCAATGCTTTTTTTTTTATGAAGAACTAGGGAGTTTGCACCTCATATGTTAACAGGGCCGTGACAGTTGAGTACAGGCTTGAGTGACCAAAACCTGACAGCAGAAGAGTGACAAACTTCGCAAGAAGGGCCGGGGTGTAGTATTTTAGGGAACGGGTTCAAAGAAGGGGGTTCCATAAAACCCTAAACCCTAAACCCTAAACCCTAAACCCTAAACCCTAAACCCTAAACCCTAAACCCTAGATGTAGGGATGCAAAAAGGGTGGTTTAGGATGCTTTGCTTAGGGCTTACGGGCAGACCTGGGGTTTCAGGTTGTCCTGCATAGGGTTTAGGGTTTAGGGTTTAGGGTTTAGGGTTTAGGGTTTAGGGTTTAGGGTTTTGGGTTTAGGGTTTCCTCCCCTCCAGCCCCTCCAGCCCGCTGGAGGGGCTAGAGGGGCTGGAGAGGCCATGTTTGCCGGCAGCCTCCAAAGTCCGTTGCTCAAAAAGGGGATGTTGAGGATTTAAATTAGGGTTTAGGGACGGATGTTGAGGGTTTAGGGATGTTTAGGGTTGTTTAGGGCCTAGGGATGTATGTAGGGTTTCGGGCGATCGCTGTGAAGTGCTGCTGAATTTGGGCAGGAACTTCATGTGCAACGTGCGAAGTAGTCCCAAAGAAGGTCCAATCCTGGCAGGGATTTCGAACGGGTTTAGGTTTTAGAATTCAGGGTTCAGAGGGTTTGGGGTTCAACTTTGTAGCAGGACAAGTCGTGGGAAATGGAGGACACGTTTTTGAGGCCTTCCCTCAACCACATAAGCCCAAGACTTTCTCGAACCAATCCTTCGCTCAACCCACCACCGCCCTCCGAACCCTTAACCTTAACCCCCAAAACCCTAAACCCTAAATCCTAAACCCTAAACTCTAAACCCTAAGCCATAAACCTTAAACCCTAAACCCTAAGCCCTAAGCCCTAAGCCCTCAACCCTAGCTTCCCCAAACCCGCAGCTCGATCTTCAGTGCGTGTGGCAAAGCAAAAGCTCTCGCCCTGCACCCTCCCAGACCCAGAACTCGAAGCTCGAAGCTCTTGGGTCTAGTAGGCCCTTGTTCCTTTGTGCAGGACCCTTGTAAACCAAAGACGGCACCCTTTCTATTCCTACAAGGAGGCCCCCCCCCCCCCCCCCCCCCTAGTTATAAGTGGAGTTCTAAGGGCCCTAAATTGGGCTATAAAGATCCTAAATTAGGTTATAAGCCCCTTAAATACAGTTAGTATAGTTAGGGGGGGCCCTAAACCCTAAACCCTAACCCTAAACCCTAAACCCTAAACCCTAAACCCTAATTAAACCCTAAACCGAATGTAGGTGCTCTTGGGTCTAGAGAAACCTTCCCTTCCCTGGTAATGAAGGTGCCTCTCCTGGCGGCTCTGGGGAGCCTGCGTGCGAAGAGACTCTGAGGGCTCGGGAAATAGGGTCTTTGTAGGGTTTAGGGTTTGGGGTTTAGGGTTTAGGGTTTAGGGCTTAGGATTTCTAGGGCTTAGGGTTCAGCGTATTTAGGGTTTGTAGGGTTTAGGGTTCAGAGGATTTAGGGTTCAGAGGGTTTTGGGTTCAAGGGGTTAAGGGTTCAAAGGGAGGTAGGGCTTAAGGTTCCGGAGCGGTTCCGAAGCAGTGGTTGAATACAACGCGCGAAAAGCGTTCATCTTGCATGATTGTTCCCAGTATCGGCGCCCCCTCCCAAAAGGGAAGGCGCCCGAGGTGAGTTAGCGCTGTTGAAGCGTCGAAGGACTCGGATTCAGCGGATTCAGCGCCCAAGAAAGATGCAGACAATGGGGACGCAAGGAACTGTGAACTTGAGTTTAGATCTGAATATGTAAGAGTTCAGGGCTTATAAAGGGTTTTGTGATACTACCCTCTCCCCCCCCAAAACAAATAGTAACAACAATATATATATATATATAGATAGGGTTCATGGTTCTCCCCAAGGCAGCCGACAAATCTTACAGACTCAAGCCGAAGGCTAGCTGACGCAAGAGCAGGGCCATGCTGAAAAGTGTCCGACAGCCCCCGGTTTAGGGTTTAGGGTTTAGGGTTTAGGGTTCCCCCCCCCCCTCCCCCACCCCACCCTCTTGCTTTTGTCTTTGTGGGCAGGTGGTTTAGGGTTTGGGGTTTAGGGTTTAGGGCTTAAGGGGCCCTAAACTCCCGAGACTCCCTGAGATACCTAAGCCACGGACACTCCGTAAGCCACAAAGGCTAAACCTAATCCCTAAACACCCTTTGTGGGTGAACACCACGCCCCCTTCCAAAAAGAACAAAATAATAATATATTAATAATAACAAAATATCACCACAGAAATTAAAAAAATAAATGAAATTGTTTTTTACAAAAGTATATACATATATGAAGATAAAAAAGAGCCCTGAATCCTAAAGTTGGGAATCCTAAACCCTAAGCCCTAAACGCTGAGTTAGGGATCCTACAGCAGGCGGCATCTCGCTCGCGCTGCTCTCGGCAGTCGCTTCGGCCTTTGTGGCGCGGGCGGTGATCAGGCCTCCCCCGGAGGCCACGGCCTTAGGTTGGGGTTTAGGGTTGAGGGTTTAGGGTTTAGTGTTTAGGGTTTACGGTTTAGGGTTAGGGATTGTGTTTTCGGGTTGCCGCTCTGAGCTGGGAGCCTTTCATCTTGCTTGCCCCTTAAACCTGATGGAACACACAACCTTTTCACTTCGAACTGCCTGTGCACCCTTGACATGGTTTGCTTCAAAACCCTAAACCCTAAACCCTAAACCCTGGAGGGGCTCGTCGTCCCAGGTCTTGGGCACCCTAGGGCAGCTTCCCGGATACACTTTGCTGAAGTTGCAGAAATCGAGAACCCTTATCCGGAGACCTGGCAATCAGGCTGCTACAGCCCTTGAGACCCCATAACTAGGATAGGGCTTAGGGTTTAGGGGTTAGGGTTTACAGTAGGGTTTAGGGTTTACGGTTTAGGGTTTAGGGTTTAGGGTACCAACCTGCAGGTTTAGGGCAGGCTCCCAAGCTCCCCCAAAAGATCTGAACCGCCCGGAGCCTTTTGCAGGAAACTCCAGAAAGTTAGGGTTTAGGGTTAGGGAACATGGTTTAACGGTGGTGAGAGCTGGGATTCCCTTTAGGATACCCTATTGGGGTAGTTGGGGTAGGGGGATAGGGATGTTCCAACTTTTCGAGTTTACAAAAAAAATCTTCAACATCCCATAGCCCCAAAGGGCTCGTAAAGGCCCTGAAGCCACGAAGGGCTCAAGGGTTAAGGTTTGGACCACAGGCCCTTAGTATGGTCCCTTGCCCTTGTTTATAGGGCTCCGAAGTATGGGCCGTTAATATATGAAGTGTACATAAGGGTGGTAAACCCTAAACCCTAAACCCTAAACCCTAAACCCTAAACCCTAAACCCTAAACCCTAAACCCTAAACCCTAAACCCTAAACCTCTGTAATGGGCATAGGGTCCCCAATTTAAGGGCCCATACTTCGGACCATCGACTTGAGCCCCTGGAAGGAGCGACTCTCCTCTTGCTCCTTGACGCATCATGGGAATAGGGTTTAGGGTTTAGGGTTTAGGGTTTAGGGTGTAGGGTTTAGGGTTCAGGGTTTAGGGTTTAGGGTTTAGGCATATCTAGCCGAGGGGGGTTTAAGGGCCAAGAAAGGGGCGCTTGACCCTAAATCCTTCCCTTACCCAGCCCAAACCCCTAAACCCTAAACCCTCAGCCCCAAATTCCAGGCAGGTGAAGCCCACAAACGTCGCCCCGCCCCAAGGAGACAACTCAACAGGTCCAGGACTTTCGGAACATCCTAAGGGTTTGGGGTTTAGGGTTTAGGGGTTTAGGGGTTTAGGGGTTTAGGGGTTTAGGGCTTTAGGGCTTTAGGGGTTTAGGGGTTTAGGGGTTTAGGGGTTTAGGGGTTTAGGGGTTTAGGGGTTTAGGGTTTAGGGCTTTTCCTCCTCGCTTGCCCCTGCGGAGCCGTAGCTGGCTCTGGCATCCGTGGTTTTGAGGGTCTTGATTTTCTGGTTTTTGGGAGTTTAGGGTTTGGGGTTTAAGGCTTAGGGCAAAAGAGTTCTGGGGCTGGGGATTCAGTGAACTCGAACAATCTGATCGTCAATCTCATGTTGCTCTAGATAGCTCCTGGACTATATGGACCACTAGCTGTTTTAGGGGGTTTAGGGTCAGCCCAGTAAGAATAGTACAATAAGGGCACCATTCTTTTTTTTTTTTTTGGGGTGGGGGGGGTGGGGGGGGTGCTTACTTTACAAGGGAACCTTGAACCAAAAGCAGGGGAAAAGGGTAGCACTGGGTTACCAACAGGTTTCGGGTTTGGGGTTTGGGGTTTAGAGTTTAGGGTTTAGGGTTTTAGGGGGGGGGGGGGGGGGGTTGGGGGGGGGGGGGGGGGTAGCGGGCTACGTTTATGCATTCGCCATATTTGCCACGTCCCTGCCGCCCCCCCCCCCCCCCTTCCCCAAACAAAACCAAATTTGCCAAAGCCAGTCCTCATCCCGAAACCGTAAACCCTACAAGGGGCGCCCCCCTCGTTACAAGTAGAGTTATAAGGGCCCTAAATTGGTTTATAAGGATCCTATATTGGGTTATAATCCCCTTAACTACAGTTAGTATAGTAAGGTCGCCCCTCCTTGTACCTGGGGCGGTTTACCTACAGTTTAGTAGTAGCTAATTACCCGAATGACTAGGTATAACCCATTAAACTGTAGGTAAAGAGAGAGAGTCCCAGGCACGCCCTGGGACCTAAATCCTAACCCTAAACCCTAAACCCTCAACCCATTTTCTACGACCCAGGCTCCGCAGCGCAAAATGGCACGAGCACCTGCGCTGCATGGGCCCCTCGGCAGTTCAAGGTTTGGGCGTTTTGGGGGGGGCTCTGGGAACATATTAACTAGGATAGGGTTTAGGGTTTAGGGTTTAGGGTTTAGGGTTTAGGGTTTAGGGTTTAGGGTTTAGGGTTTA